GGAGCAGCTCCCGAGCCGTCGCTTCACCTTTCCTCCACGGCTGGGCCTGACCCTGCGCCTTCCCCTCGCCCTAAAGCCTGACTCAGCGCTCGAAGTTATTCAGCAAAACTGTTAAATTTTTAGGAGCGAGCGCCTCGCACGTGACTAAGCCAAAAAAAAAACCAAACCCTCCTGACGAGTTCACCACACACGAAAGGACCACGGGGTGGTTAGAGATGGCTCAGCCACCAAAATCGAGGGGAAAGGAGCCTCCTCCAGCGCCAGCCGCGTGTTTGGTCCTTCCCCTTCCAGCCCTGCGCCCCTCGGGGCCTCTGGCGAGGCTCCCCCAGCCTGCGGAGCCCTTCGGTTTATTTTCTTTGACTGTGTTTTTTCGTTCTAAAACGGCAGAAAAGAATTCCGACGCGTTAAATCCGCGCTAATGGTGTCCGAAAAGCGTCGATATCGGCCTAAAAAACAACGCCCAGGGACGGGGAGGAGGAATGGGAAGGGGAGGAATGGGAAGGGGAAAAGAAGGAATGGGTAGGAGAGCAGTGGGAAGGGGAAGAGGAGAAAAGGGAATGGGAAGAGGAGAAAAGGGAATGGGAAGAGAGGAAGAGGAAGAATGGGAAGGGGAGAAAAGGAAATAGAAAGAAGAGGAATGGAATGGGAATGGGAGGAATGGGAAGGGGAGGAAAGGAAATGGGAAGGGGAGGAAAGGAAATGGGAAGGGGAGGAATGGGAAGGGGAGGAATGGGAAGGGGAGGAAAGGAAATAGGAAGAAGAGGAATGGGAAGAGGAGGAAACAAAATGGGAAGAGGAGGAAACGAAATGGGAAGAGGAGGAAACGGAATGGGAAGAGGAGGAAACGGAATGGGAAGAGGAGGAAAGGGAATGGGAAGAGGAGGAATGGAATGGGAAGAGGAGAAAAGGGAATGGGAAGAGGAGAAAAGGGAATGGGAAGAGGAGAAAAGGGAATGGGAAGAGGAGGAATGGGAATGGGAAGAGGAGGAATGGGAATGGAACTTTTACTTTGGGCAGAAGCAGACCCTGACCCCGCAGCCGCAGCCGCGGAGCAGCAGGGCCGGTTATCGGCTCCGGTTACGGCGCCCGCTTAAAATAACACCAACAAACCCTGCACCCGCCTCAGAGAAACGTTTGTCTCGGTGGGTTGACCCCGCACCCCGCGATTGGAATGACCCGAAAACAAGACACAATCGAGGGATTTCCGACGTGGAGCAACGGGAAAGTTGCCTCCGAATCCAAAACTCATTATCCCAAGCACACAAAGCTCCAGGAAAAGGAAACGGGCCCATCAAACAGCCACGAGGACAGCGGCAACAATAGCCACAGAAGCGGGTTTTTTGGGTTTTTTTCTTAAACAGAAGTTGACAGGTATCCTGGCAAAGTTTTTTTGGTATTTAAAATACAAAATTCATCTTTAAAATATAAAAGCTTAGGGCGTACTTGGCACAAGTTTACCTAAATTCCAAAAGCGGGCTCTCGCCCTCGATCTGCAACCTGGCACAGAAAAACAACCCCAAAATTAAATATTTTGACAAGCCCTTTCGCTTTAGCTCTGAGGGGTCAAATCTTTCCCTCTCTCCCAGCACAAACCCCAAAACGGTGTCAAACTCAAGGTTTTTTCCGTCCCCTGCTCAGTCCCGACCGATTCTCGGCTCCCAGCGAAACGCGGCGCGGTGCTGCCGGGGAAGAAGAGCCCGGCTGCCTTTCCCGAAGCCAAACGGGGCAGGACACCGGGAACGACCCCAACGGGCGTCACAGATTCTAGGAAAAAAACAACAACAACTGCGCAGCTGAGGCCAAAACAATTTAAAAAAAAGAAAATCAATGAAGCAAAACCACAGAAGCTATTCTGCAACGAGCGTGCTTAGCGCAGCTTTCGGAAGCCCAACGTTGCCGACGGAAGGCAAAGAAACATGAAAAAACTACTTGCGCAGTCCTGGAAAATCTGAAGTTTACGCTGACTGGTTAAAAGGCTATTTTTTAATTATTTTTTCCCCCAAAAGCCTTGGGTCATTTTCCATCTCAACAATCTTTGACGCATCCTAGCGTTAGAAATACCTGCTCTAAGAGCCTGAGTTTTTGCCAACCCAAGGGGATTTCGCCGTTTCCGAGCACGAAAAACCCGCATCAGGTTTTTCAGCGCGTCAGCGGCGCCGAGGAGGGACCCAGCCTCTCCTCAGAACTTCGTTAAATTATGAAAGCAGAAGCCACCTGCGGGTCTTCTCTGCGTTTTTCTTCTTTCTCTCCCTTCTCTCGGTTCCTTAACGCGACGCCAAACCTTAAGTGAAGAGCATGTGAGGAGTTTATATGCAAATCCAAACGTTTGGCTCCCTCACTGCAAGGTTTTTCGGCCGCCCTGGGTAGGGAACGAGGCAATTTGCATAAACTGCTCAAGTTAGAGGAGTTATCGGAGCCTTCAGAGAACGCTCGTTCGCCGCAGATACCGCGTTCGGCCGAAACCAGCTTTCGCTTATCAGATGCTTTTCGAGCCTCAGAAAAACCACATTTTTTGCGTTTCATCTCCTGCTTTAATATCTGGTCGCCGTTACGCTCGCCAAGCACACGCTTTTTACTTTGCCAGAAATATCCGAGCAGCTTGGAAACAGCCAATAAAGCCTCTTCGGAGGAGGAAAAAAAAAACAAACCAGCCCAACAGCCTCTCCTCCTATTAAATCTAAAAAGAGAAGATACGGACACAAGAACGTTAAAAGGGCTGGAGACATCCTGCAAACATTTAATCGCTTTCTCCTCTTTCAAACTGCCTCTGGCGGAAGGAAAACATCAGAGTCGCGTAGAGATTCGCAGCCTTCTTAGAAAAATATTAATTTAAGGCTGCGAGGGGAGAAGGTCAAACACACAAACAAGCAGTGAATTGTAAAAAGCCACCGTGACCGGCTCAAAATTAAACGCAAACCACCGAGGCAGCCGGCATTAACTCCGGAACGACTTTCCGGATCCTGTGATCACGTCGCGGGTT